CTTGACGACGTAATATCTTTGATGATATAAGTACATTCCATAAAGATTATTATTTTTAGTGATCAGACTTTCCACCAGATGTTAAGATTGTATGCTCATTATTTATTGTTTCTATTACCTTGTATCTTGCACCTGAGTTCAAATTACTGTTTGTTTTTTAATTCCTGAAATACAACTGTAGATAATTATCCTATAACTGACTTCAGCATTGTCCTACAAGCAAGTTAATATATGCATTATATTCCCCAAAACTAGAAACCTATAGTATAGTTAGAATACAGATAAAAAACCAAGCAGACTACCACTGCTTTAAAATTTCTTAAAGTTTCTTTAAACCTATTCTAGAAACCTGAGCCACACACACAGACAAAAACAATTATTAAATCACTATAACTTTTAATTTTTTTTTATCAAACTCTCAAGTCTCTTCTATTATTATTGAGCAATCGCTTGCTTGTTTTGTATCATGATCTATTAAGCAAATTTGTAAAGTTAAACTGCAATATGAACATTAGATAAAACAAAATTTTAAAAGTCTTTCTCCTACTGGGTTGATGTAACATATCTAAAAATAATGACCAGGAAAATGTACCTCCTTCCATAAAACAATCCTAATGGTAGGTACAAATAGCCAAATGAAAGATTTTGTGTCCTTTTTCTCTACAGTCTCTTTTAGTTCTCTACTCAGAACTAAACAGTTTCTCACTGTCCTTCACAAGGTTCCATGCATGTGCTGGAGCTACTGTTACCATCTGACTAACTAAGACCTAATACAGATTACATTTAATATAATTTTTTGATAGCTTATATAGGTCCTGCTTTACTTATCTCATAATTTCTCTAACAAGTCTTTTCTCTACATGCTACATTTGTTGTGTATGCTTATGTTCTTCAACCCAGTTTATTTACCAGAAGTTGGCATGAAGGATATTTTTGTTACTTCAAATATAATCAAACTTTTGGATAATTCTTGGTATTGAACTGAATTGCAAACAATTTAATTAGATGTGGGTTAAGATTGCACAATCACAATTACTGCTATTTTTCAAACGTGCCACTGTTTCAATTGTATATGATTTTTTTTCTTTACAACTGAATATATCAAATGTAAAAGAATCTTCTACAAAAATAATCAATTATTTTGAAATTTCAACTGATATGGTTTTTAACCTTTTACCGTGTATCCCGAGTTAACTCATCCAGTAATAACCTAATACGCAGCCTGAACCTCAAGTATACTCATCATCAGGCATTATATTTACTTACCCACTGTGTACAATGAGTTGACTCGTCCTGCCTGCAGAAGACAAGCACAATGTCAATGGCAGAGAGAAGGTAATGTAACAGCCGAGCTGTTGTAAAATACAATGGCAGGTCGAAAACGTGGTCTGTCTGCAGACGAAATATAACATGTTGTTTGATTCTGAGGACACCACATCAGAATATGATAGTGACTGTAGTTCTAGCGATTTAGATGTGGCAGACAATGATGACCGTGATAAGGGCACAACAGATGAAAGCCAGACTGACAATTATATATCATTTCTATGGTCTGGTGTGGAATGTAATCAGATTATGCATTTACCATTCACTGGGTCACCTGGACAGCATATAGCAATAACTCACACAAGTTATCCATTAGAATATTTCAATTTGTTCATTACTGATAAGATGATTAGTATGATTGTTACTGAAACAAACATTTGAGTGCATCAGCTTATTGAGAGCTTGACCTTGAAGCACAGATACAGACTGAACCAGTGGACTGACGTGAAGAGCGATGAAATGAAGAATTTGTTTGCAGTATTTATTTATCAAGGAATTATTCGAAAACCTGAGACTGAGTTATATTGGTCAACAAAACCATTGCTTGAGATACTGTACTTCAGGCAGATAATGACTGAACTGCATTCAGCTTGCTCTCGAAATGTCTTCACTTCACTGATAACAGTTCATTGCCAAAGACTACCTCAGCCATAGAGAAAACATTCTGGGAAACCAAAAACTTGTTTGATGCATTTATTGAAAGATTCTCCACTGTTTATGTGCCTGAACGACATATGGCTATCATGAATCATTGATGCTGTGGAAGGGGCATTTGGCCATGAAGCAGTACATTCCATTGAAGCAATCTCGCTTTGGTTTGAAGTCTTACAAACTGTGTGAATGTGAAACAGGCTATATTTGGAAGTCAATTGTTCGCATTGAACAAGCAATGTAATTAGAAGAATCAGTTGATGGTCTCATATCATCACAAATTGTGCTGACACTTGCTAAGGACCTCCTTGGTCAAGGCTATTGCATTTTCATGGACAATTAGTGTAGTTCACTGAGCCTGTTCAGAGAATTATGCATGAAACAAACTGATGCTGTGGGAACTGTGAGGATAAATCAAAAACACATGCCATCTGAATCGAAGAAGAAAATTTCTCGTGGTCAAACAACTGCAATGTATACATATGACATGGTGGCTATGAAGTGGTTAGATAAAAGAGAGGTCACACTTTTGTCAATAGTTGCACAAAAATAGAAATGACAACTGTACACACACACACACACACATCAGGGAGATATACAAAAACCCACTGCAATGCTTATGTACAACAACATGGGAGCCCTGGACATGATGGATCAGATGCTTGTCGTGTATGCAGCATATCACAAGAGACATAAAGTGTGGTACAAAAAGCAATTTCGCTTACAAAAAATACAAGTAAAATATAACCTATCTCATTCTATTTGGAATATTCCAATTTTGGTTTACTCAATCCTTACCAAGAGGATAAAAAAAAATGTATATTTGAATCCAAAATAGCTTCAACATGATTTTGTTATACTTGTTTGCATTCCTAAATTGATATGTTCCTTTGTTTTCTATAAAAGAGATTCTCTCAAGAACAATAAAAAAAAAGTTAACAAATTTTTAAATATGTTTTAATGATTATTTTCTTATTTTAGCTTTACAGTGAATTATTTATTCAATCCTATAGTAATTAAAAATATCAGATAACCTTTGCTACTTTAGGTAACTATAATATGATATTCAATGAAGAGATTTGAAACACTGCTACTAGTTGTCCTGTCCAAAGCAAGTTTCTGATCTAAAATGATGACACTTGGGTTGTAATCCCATTTCTGAGTCTCCCACAAGCATTATTTGAACTTGAGACCATTTTAAGTTATAAAAAGCTGAAAAAAGATAACACTAAGTTTTAAAAAATGCAAATACTAAAACAATAATATATTATCAAGACTAAAAATCCAGAATATCATACAATGAGTTGCATAAATACAGTGTTAACAAAGTCTATACACCTAAAAGTTTTATCATTATTATTCAAATGAAACTTGCCAACTTAGTATACTTTGTAAGAAAAATACATTTGAAAAACTAATCAGGCCTATATTTTAAAGCTTTTTAAGCCTTTTGCAAAATGTATGACTCACAGTGAG